TATGTGTGATGTGTGTGTTCATTTGGGGAGGATACATGTGCTTGCTGCAGGCATGCATGTATGCACTCATGTGGAGGCCAGAAGGCGGTCACATGTCTTCCTCAGTTGTTCTGCATCTCACTTTCTGAGACAGGGTCCCTCACTGAACCTCATTAATGCAGTTAGACCGGCTGAGGTGCACGTGTCTGTCATGTCCACTCTTCCACCATGCACCTCGCGCAGCTTTCTACACTTTATGCGGGGGCCGGGGATCCAAACTCGGGTCCTCACGCTCGTGCAGCAAGCACTTTACCCATGAGCCTCTTCTTCAGCCCCCAGAGGACAGCTTCCTGAGCACTTGCCATGCAGTCACCAAGATTTCATTGAGCTCTAGAGACTGGAAGTCCATAAGCTCGTGTCAAGTGAGATGTGTTGGGAAATCAGTGCTGTGAATGAGAAACACGGCAGAAAACCTCTGTCCAGTGTAGCCCAGGAGTCCACAGCCCTGGGCGCTTTGGCGTTTCTCAGCCACAGATACTGTTCTGAGAGCAGCGTAACTGCTCAGTAAATAAATAATGACTAATCAGCGGGTGTGTTCCGGGGCCATTCAGACGCTGCCTAAAGTAAGACAGGATGCAGCCAGGGTTCTACACTATAATCTTTTTGTATATTTATTTTATTTTTCAATCTTTGAGTGTCTGTGTATGGGTATATACACCTGAGTACAAGTGTCCAAGGAGGCCAGAGACATCAGATTCCATGGTACTGGAGGCATGGACAGTTCTGAGCTAGCTGCGGGTGCTGAGAATTGAACTCAGGCCCTCCACAAGAACAGAGGACCTCTGTACACTCTCTTAACTTCTGAGACCTCTCTCCCTACTACAATTTTAACCCAAGGGGAGATCTAAAAGCCCAGTCTCCTGATTCATTCAGCCTGTGTTTATGTGTTGAATAAGCCCATGTTGTATATCAAATATGACTCGAGGATTGCAATAGGTACAAGGACTACAAAGTATTCTTCACCTGTCTTTTGTATACATAAAGCAAACAGAACACCGGAGATCCGTTCAAACAAAAAAAAGTCCTTAGATGCGTGGTGGGCTGTAAGAGGTTCGGTCCAGTTTCTCCATGCCCACTATGTGGATTCCTAGTGACGGATCACACAGAGCAAGGCTAGAGCCAGGGCGTCAGATGTACGCTGTGACCGCCACGCCTCCCACCCTGAGGACACTCAGCCCCAGGACCTGCCGTTTTGACCACTGCTGTCACTGCTGTCACCATCACCACACTGTGGCCACTGGGCCGTCATCACACACCACCGTAGGAACCGCGGCCAGGGTGACACATGGCACAGGCAGCTCCCCTCGGGGTTGGCACTGGGAGCTGAGTAAAGAGCGAGCTGCTGAGAGTGGATTAAAATCCAGGCAGACTGGGGGGAAGAAGGCAGGCTCCGAAGACGGAAGAAACAGATATTTGCAAAACCTAGCACTTAACAGGTTCTCAGAGTCGTTTGTGTCATCAATAACTAAGCAATGATTTTTTTTTTAAATACAGTCAAAATTTCTTTAACTTCTAGGAGGCCATGCCAGTAGACTGATCAGAATATTCTGGAAAAACATGAGCTGCCCTTTCCATGACTGCCTGCTTCTGGTCTTGCCTTCTCTCTCTGTTTCAGTCACACATGCCCAACTGTACCTGGCAGAGTCATGCCACCAACAGGCAGAATTACTTGTGCGGGTGACTGAAGGGCATCTACAGAACCTGCCTATGAAGGAAAACACACTCACAAGAGCTTTGACTCCTGAAATCCCACTGTGGGGGGATTCAATCTTTATCACCACCACTGCCAGCAGTTCCGACTTAGAAACGTCATGAGCACACCTCTGGAGTGCCTTGCTCCTTGGTAGAGACACTCTTTCAAGGGTCTGTTATGCCAAGTCTCTGCTGGGAGCCACAGAAGCACTCATGTCCACCTGGGTCCACAAGCCCATTGCCTTCTCCACTATCATACCTCACCACCTGAAACCCAAGAGCTGTCAGACTTCTAAGCCTGTGCACAGGCATCTTCCTCTGCCCAGAGAGCCTTTCAGACATCCCAGTCTCTCTTGACTCTACCCCAGCTCCAACACAGCAGAGAACCCCTCCCTCCATGAGGTCCACGCCACCTGTCCACTTCTCCTATTAGCGTGTCTGTCTCCTCCTCTACAACTGTGCGGTCTCTGGGTCTCCAGTAATTAGCCAAGAGCCTAGCTCACTTAACTTCATTTTGAAACTGAGTCATGTCATTCAAGAGGTCTTAAGATGGAGGGCTTGCATGCGGACAGAAGACAGCAATAAGCACTGATAAAGAAAAGTCCTCCCCTTAATGAGTTTGCACTGGGTGGGTGACACATGGCCCCCCGGGTTCCCTGGACCCTAATTTGTCTGGCAATGCAGCTCCAGAGCCTTCAGAGGCAGCCAAGGAAAGTTTGTACGGCTCTTAAGTTGCTCTTCTTATAGACCAAGAGCAATGTCGGCTAAGTAGACTGTGACGCAACCACTGATCAACCCAGAGGACACTCAGGAAGTGGTCACAGCATGCCTCCAAACGCCTAAAGGGTCCAGGATCTTGCCAGCATCTCCACAGCAAACCCAGACAACGTGAGTCCCTGGGCTCCCCGCCAGTCGCCAGTAAACACAGAAATCCAGCTTTTTAGTATAAACTATTTGCAGCCTTCTAGTTCGTCAGCCTTCCCCTCCATTGACTTTCCCACCGTTCCCTAACTCTGAACGCAAGTCTCTTAGCACTAAATGCATGCAAATGGCGTTTAAGGGAAATTAAACAGTCAGGCTCTCCCAGTACCTGTTCAGAGCCGACATAGAGTTCCAATTTCCTGCTGATACAAATAATTATTCTGCTTTAAAATCGCCTAGGTTTTTTTCCTCTCTCTCTCCAAGAGAGACACTGCAAAATTACCTTCCACGATGCCATTTGGAGAGCAGGGAAAAGAAATTTACCATATAATTTGTTTTAAATAAACTTTTTAAAGGTATAGAAAACTGGAAAACAAGGCTGAAGACTCTCAGTACAGTGCCTGCTGCCCGGTTTTCACATGGAGCTTATCACTGTCTCCCAAGGTCAGAATTTAGTCACTAGCTCTGAATCTGGATAGAGACAGAGGGCGGTAGTGTGGGCAGGGCATAGGGAACAAAGGTAGAGGACCCCTGGCGCCAAGCAATGTCACTCTGTCTTCTCTGTGCCAAGGATGGCAAGTCTCTGGGGTTCAGAGGGACAATAGAGTGGTAAGGCCAACTCTAGTCCTCAAGAGGCTCTCTCTTTTGGGGGGAGACAAGGAAAGAGTTAATCATAGTGGGACCTCAGTAGGATGGCCAAGGGAGGAAGGAGACTGGCAGGGATGGATAACGTGTTCAGACTAAATGCTCAGCTGATGCTTTCATACAGGACAGACAGACAGAACTGGTTTTGACAGACTACTTTCCCCTGTCCCCAATTGTCATGGCTGTGCTGGTGGCCTCCCTGACCCTCTTCCCTTATTAAGGTGCCTGTCCTCTGCTGCTCTAAGTGCTGCTGCCAACGGATCTTCACCAGCTCTTCTCCAGAAACTGGCCCGGGGCACAGGGCCTGCCATGTCCACAGGACTTCAGTCCTCCCTCTCCCATTGGGAGCTGCCCGTACCAGAAGCAGCCCATTGACAGGAAGTCATACAACTTTGCACTTGCCCTTGACCAAGTCAACTTTGTGTTTCAACTCAGCTCCTAGTGAGTCAGGATAAAGAAGGCTGCAGCGAAGACTCCATCCACGTGGAGGTCTTTCCGTGTCCTCTCTCTCTTCCCTCTTTCCCCTTCTCATGAAAGAACCCCACTTGGCATCCCTATTCCAAACCGAATGGGCAAATATCCCTTTCTCAAGAAATTTCACTTGGGAGTTAACCTTACCTTAGTCTTGCCAGCATTCCTGACATGCTCTTGTTCCTAGGTTCCAGCTCCATGGCTGTAGGAGACACTGGGCTTTCTCAGTAAGGTGTAAGACAGAGGACCTTACATGCACAGATCCTGTCCCCTCCCAGACAGTCCTACACCAACCACCCTGCCCCTTTGTTCCAGGCACTTTCTTTGGAACTCATCTGCCCCCACCCACCTGCAGTTTCTGCTCCTAGGAATCCCCCACACTTACATCCCCCAGCCAACTCCAGATGCCAACTTGACAACATGACTCAAAAGCCTCCCAAGTTCCTCTAGTAGGATCATGGCTAAACTGCTCATCCTGGATCTCAGGGTCTCCCATGAGTGCTCTATCCATGTGTTCCAACTCTACACATATATGCCCTTGCAAACTCTGGCTACACAGAGTTCTTCAGCTCTCCCCAGACATGGCCTGAACCCTCTTCACTTTTATACCTTGCTCTCTTTCCTCACCATCAATTGTTTGAAATGTCCCACTTTCCCTAAGGGTTCCCATGACCACACAGTAGTGGTGAGCCTTTCTTTCACATGGACAAGCAAAGCCTTGCTGCCTCAAGGGGTCATTTTATTCAGTCTACAGTAACCTGGCTTTCTGTAAGAGGCCTTCTCTTCCTCTTGAACTGGCTCATGTTCCTTGGGTAGAAAATCACTGTTTGTGGATATAACTCTAAATCACATTGTGTGTGTATGGGGGGGGGGGGGATACACTTTCATATGGGCATATGAACCCATGCATGCTGAAACATATGAACGTGTGTGTGCATGCATGTAAGGTTAAAGTTCAATGCCTTCACTGATTGCTCTCATCTTATCGTGTGAGACATGGACTCTCATTCACCCTGGACTCAATTCATCTAGGCTGGCCAATTAGCTCCACAGATCCTCCTGCCTCCCTCTACCCTACCATCAACACTCAAGTTACAAGTATGTACCACCATGCTCAACTTTTTACATGGATTCTGGACTCAGGTCCTCATGACTGGATAGCAGGCACTTTACTGGCACAGCCATCCTCTCAGCCCCCACATCTTCCATTCTTATATAGGAGACAACAAAACCAAGGTTCTCATGTTTATTGAGCATTTACTACACGCCCAATACACTGAACCTTAGCATTTCATACATGTCATAATACACTGTACCTTAGCATTTCATACATGTCATAATACACTGTACCTTAACATTTTATACATGTCATAATACACTGTACCTTAACATTTCATACATGTCATAATATACTGTACCTTAGCATTTCATACATGTCATAATACACTGTGCCTTAGCATTTCATACATGTCATAATACACTGTACCTTATCATTTTATACATGTCATAATACACTGTACTTTATCATTTCATGCATGTCATAATACACTGTACCTTAGCATTTCATACATGTCATAATACACTGTACCTTAGCATTTCATACATAATACACTGTACCTTAACATTTCATACATGTCATAATACACTGTACCTTAGCATTTCATACATGTCATAATACACTGTACCTTAGCATTTCATACATGTCATAATACACTGTACCTTAGCATTTCATACATGTCATAATACACTGTACCTTATCATTTCAAACATGTCATAATACACTGTACCTTAGCATTTCGTATGTCATAATGCACTGTACCTTATCATTTTATACATGTCATATGACTTACACTAATGCCCACTTACCTCTCATGTGCAGCTTAATGAATTTTACCTATCTATAGCCATGAGCCATGACTTGATTCAAGGCAAGAAACTCCTCCTCTCCTCAACAACTTCCCCTGCGTTCTTCACGGGAGTCGCCACCGCTCAGAGCTCTCTCACCAAAGACTGGTTTGGGCCTTTCTTGAGTTCATATAAGTGAAGTGTAATTGGAACTCAAGAAAAAGTATGCCTAGAAAGGGTGCACTCTGTCTGCTTCTCTCATCCAATAGGATACCTCTAAGATTCATCTGCACATCTACCATGAGCTGGCTGGTGAAGGGCATCCCCTTCAGTACTCCACCACAGCGTGTTTATTCCACCTCCTTTGATGGATGCTTCTAGTATTTTGATACTATGAAAGGGGCTGTGAATAAACACAAACTGCCATTCCCTTGAGTACATGCTCAGAAGGGAAATCACCTGCCATGGCATACGCTCATTCCCATCATTAGTAGATTCTGCTGCATGATTTCTCCTCAGGCTTCACTCCTCTGCATACTCTTGTCCAGACACACAGGAGAACTTTTTCCACTCAAACTCTTGACATTGCAGTCTGTCAAATCTTTCCATTTTACCCATTCTGCTGGGGGTGACATGGTATCTTATCATGGCTTTAATGTATGGTACTGTCAGGTGAACTTGATCATGTGTCTATTGGCCATTTCTAGGTCTTTGCCAAGTTCTATCAGACATTTGATATACAAGGAAATTTCGGTCAGGTTTGATGCTACCTCTGGAGGACAAGTGTTGCTATCTCCATCATACAAGAACTCCAAAAAGCTAAGTTAAGTTGCCCAAGGTCACATAGGCAGGAAATGACGGAACTAGGACCTTCACACAGCTACACAGCTTTCTACCTGAGGGAGAGTTCTTCCAGAATAACGTGTGCATTAGGTGTACATACTATGCCATCAGTCACCAGGGTTTTAAATCCAGCCCCTGTGATTCCTAGGCAAACATTGGGTCTCCTTGAACTTCCTACAGAGTATGGGTGTAGTACCACCCCCTGCCTCTAGAGGGCATGGTGAAGATGTGCTGGCACAAAGCACACAGCTGACATAGCAAGAGCTCACAGCATGTCATGCACTTTCTTGGCGCCTCTAGGGATATCATCGTCTTCTTCCCTAGAAGATTATAAGATTCTACTATAAATAGAGAATAGGAGTCCCCTGCCTGCTTGCTTGTGGTTTTGCTTTCCATGATACCTTAACTCAAAGGTACCCCTAAACCAGAGGCTCTCAACATGTAGGTTACAACCCCTTTGGGTGTTCTGTATCAGATATTTACATTATGATTCAAAACAGAAGCGAAATCATAGTTATGAAGTAACAACAAAATAATTTTATGGTTGGTGGTCACCACAGCATGAGGAACTGTATGAAAGGGTGGCAGCATTAGGAAGGTTGAGAACCTCTAATCTAGACTGTGTATCTTTCAAAACCTTGAGACAAAGCATGCACATTGTATTGTTAAAATGCCAGAAGAGAACATAACCATCCAGGTCAGACCACAAGCTGACTCAGCCTCCAACCTGTAACATGTCCAGTTTCCAGACACATCTGCCCTTGAGCTGGAAATCCCAAGTTCATTACACATTAGAGAGGTATAAATTAAAATCACAGTAAGCTTACCACTTCACAGCCTCCAAAATGGATAAAGTTTAAAAGATTGACAATACAAAGGATTGGGTCCCTGCTTTTGCTCCCCATTGGGGACCCTTCAGATACATTTTAACTGCAGACTTCAATGAATGGGAACAGGTTATCGATTCTCCGTTATTAAAACCCAGAATGTGAAGTCACAAGACGTTTAGTTCAGTAACTTGCCCAGTAAATTTTGAAGGGATATAACATTATTAAATAAGTCTCTCGTGGGTTCTGTTGGAACAGTTCAAAAATAATTATTCTGGAGTTCCAAGAGTCAGCGTGGTCCCTGGTGTTTTCCCTAAGTTACTGAAACTTACTAAACATCTTCTCAGAGGCCAGTCTCCAGCCAAAAGGCAGCCAGTGCCATGGTGGAAACCACTTTGACCTGATAGCAACTGAATAAACATGTGACACCCTGGCTGCTGTGTACCCAGACAGAACCTATCTAGACAGAGTTGTATATAACAACTAACTGTATATGCTACGAAGCAAAGAAAGGTAACGTGATTTTAAAAATCAAATAAAACCAAAAGCTGAGTAGGACTATATCATATGGAAAACTGGTTTTAGATTGAGCAGATGGGAACATCTACTGAAGAAAACCCATGTAGGTTGAAACTCTAATATAGAAGTAGCTAGCCAAGGGATGAGGTAGGGGTCAGGGGCATTGGCCATAAGCAATCTGTTCAGGCTGTCCAGGAAACTGAGACAGTCCCCTAGGCTGAGGAAACAAAAACAGGAGATGCAAGCCAATGGTCTGATGGAGACAGCAGGAGTGAGGCCATGCAGCATCTTACAGGTCGTGCAGAGTGGTCCGGGTTCTGTCATAAAAATTAAAAACAACTGAGGAGGGACTTACAGTAGGAAGAGCAACATGGGACAAGAAGTTGTGGTCTGCTAATGGAGGGAGATCAAGGGAACCAGAAAAAGACAAAAGAAGGATGGAGTGGATGGGCCAGAAACTATTTTAATCTGGTCTATGCCACTACTACTCCCCCTGAGAACACCCTGTTGTGGAAGCCACCTACAGGCAGCCAGAGTTTAAAATGAACTTTAATCTCCAGCACCCACTGAAAAGGCTTCCCCAGCCTCGATGCACATTCTCCTCTCTATACACATTCTCCTCTCTCTACACATTCTCCCCTCTCTACACATTCTCCCCTCTCTACACATTCTCCTCTCTCCACATTCTCCTCTTGGCTTCCATCACGTGTCTGCTAAGTTAGCAATGGCTCCAAGATCCAAGATTTATAACCTTAAGTAACAGTAGACATCTCTAGAAGTGGATGGGCCTTCAAGGCTGACTAACAATGCTGAAGAGACACAGGCTCTGTCTCAGCTCCATCACTGCCAAGATCAGGAACCTCTGAAGGAGAAGGAATGAAAGAGAAAGAAAAGAATTCTCCTGTTTAGAAACAAGGTGGCCCCATCCTCATGTCTCCTGGCCAAGGAGCACAGTCCAGTCCATAAAATGCTGGAGGGCTGTTCTCTTGGCTCCAGTGTCTAGAACAATTCTCAGATTTGTAGTCACAGGCCATTTTCAAAGCCTTCAAAACTATGACCCAAAAAGCTTTAGTTTATATGGGTTGTAATATATTCTATGTATTGATGTTTCTTATGTGAGAAAGTAGAACAGAATCACCTTTAACTATTAATTTACTCCAAATTAATAATGAAAATCTGCTCTGTATTTATGCAAATAACTTATTTTTGTGAAAAATAACTACCCTTCTCAAGTCAAAGAAAACCAAGGCAAGAACAGCATCATCGAGACAGGAAAATGAAAACTAAACCTAGGCATTACTATTTAAGTAGTTTTGATCTTTCTAACCCCTGAAAGTGGCTAAGTGACCTTTATATGACCTTGGATCATAGTTTGAGAACTAATGCTCTGAAAATGATTAAACTGGGAATCTATGGACTGAGGGTCACCTATCCATAGACTGCCCCCTAGATAACCGGGATAATTAATGAACCAAAAACGTGAGCATCAACTAAAAGATTTGCACTGAACACTGAAACTCTATCCTACCTCCCCAAATCTGTCCTTAACCCATCTTGGACCACGGAACAATGTCAGTCAAGCTAATTCTCCAGCCAGGACACTTTAACATCCCATAGGAGTTCAGTCAGCTGAGTAAGGCCTTACAGACATACCTACAAACCACGTTGGAGTGGAGGAAGATCCCTTGAGCTTACTGGCCAATCAGTCAAGCTGAAAAGACTGTGAACTTCATGTTCAGTGAGAGACCGTGTCTAAAGGGAATAAAGGAGAAAGTGATAGGGAGGATCCTCAGTGCCCTGCCCTCCACATATACACACACTGGTTTGAACGCCCACATGTACACATGCATGCCTGCAGCCACAATCATTTCATACCTCTCTGAATCCTCTGACCAAAAAAGGATGAGATCCTGTCTCCGCTCCACTTTATCACTTCCTGTCTCCCATCTGTACAGACCTCCAGACCTCTATGGTTAACTAGGGGCTAGCTCCACGCTCTGACTCCAAGCAAGCTTTATTTGTCAGAGCACAAACAAAATATCACACAACAGGGACTAACACTGAACATGGAAAAGTGAAAAAGCAAGAACAGGGGGACATGGTGGAAGTGTACTCACCAATGCGCAACTTACATTTATATGAAAATGTAAGAACAAATTAAAATCTAATTTAATTTTCTTTTTAATCCAGAGGTGAAATCTCCAAGGGGTTAAGGGGGTTCCCAGGGTGAAACTTAGAATATCTGCTTCAGTTTGGAGTGAGGCAGAAGGCTCCAGAAGGTCCTGGCACCATGGCTAAGCGCTGTGGCCGAACACTGAGAATAAAGCCATACAACCGCGGGGAAATGCTGTGTTGAATTTGTAGTAACACATAGAAAACAATGTACTGCTTGAGTGGGTAAACAGAGATGGAGTTTCAGAGGTCAAACCAGGTTTAGTGAAACTAGAGAACATTCAGAGTCTATGACTTGACTTCCCACCTTGGAAAACACATCTAGGGAAGACTTCAAACTTCTGCTTCCCAAATCCCTCATCCACTGCCACATTCAAGCAAAGCTTTCGGATGTCTGGTTCTGTCTTCCTAGCCATCTGCATGGTCAACCCCCATTCTAGTTTCATTTGTGTTGCTGTGATAAAATAACACACACAAAATAATAATAACTTGAGGAAGGGGTGGAAAATTTAGCTCACAAACCCAGGTTACTGGGCATTATTTCAAGAAAGTTAAAGTAAAAGGAACTGGAAGCCGCTGATCCCGTCACACCCACAGTCAAGAACAGGGAGAAATGAATGCATGCCTGCTGACCACTCAGCTTCCTCTCTCCCCTCTTACACAGTCCAGAACCCAACGCCAGGGAGTGGAACCACCCACAGTGGGCTGGGCTTTCCGGGCATCACATATTTCAACAGAGCAGGTATTATGGGCAGTATGGAAAATGTCTGCAGCAGAGGGCACAAAGGATACCTGTGTCACCTGGTTCCCAGGTAGGAAAGGGAGGAAGAACAGCCCTCATTTGAGAAAACCAAGGGATAATCACATTTCAATGAGAGATGGGAGACAGGAAAACTCAGAAAATATAGCTAAGTTCCCTGCTGACATCTCCAGAGGGCACGGCGGAATGTATGGGTTCAATTAGAACTAGAGAAAATTTTGGCCCAGAGGAATATTTGAAAAAGCCTAGCATCATCGTTTATTGTAATAATTGAGGTGGGTAGGTAAAGAAAAGGTGTGCTGTTAAATATGAATAGAGCAGTCATCCATAACAAACTTATCCAAAACTTCAATACTACCTAAAACCTTGGCCATGGTTTGGATGGGTATATGGATGGGTATAAGGAAGAATGTATGGAAGGATGGATGGATGGATGGATGGATGGATGGATGGATGGATGGATGGGATGGACAGTATAGTTAGAATGAATGCTATAAATAAATGGAGATGAGCTCTATGGGATGGACAGGATGGATGGGTGGGTGAGTAGGAAGATGGGTGGATGGATGGACGGATGGATGGATGGATGGATGGGATGGGATGAACAGTATAGTAGAATGGATGCTATAAATAAATGGAGATAGGCTCTGTGGGATGGACAGGGTAAATGGGTAGGAAGATGGATGGATGGATGGATGGATGGATGGATGGATGGATGGAAGGATGGATGGGTGGGCATAATGGGTGGGATGGGTGGATGGTTGGGTAAACGGTGGATAGGTAAATGGGTGAATAGAAGAGTGGATGGGAGGGATAGAGGAATGTAAGATGTGTGGGTGGATGGTTGGATGGATGGATGGATGGACGGATGGATGGATAGATGGAGACACAGATAATAGAAATAAAATGCTATGTAGTTAATATGTTCTTCCTACTTTGTCCCTTGGTTGTAATTTTATTTACTCTGCTTTGTTTTAGCTTGGTTTTAAAGCAAATACATAATCACCTATGATAACAAAAGGGGTATGTAATAGCAATAATTGAAAATAAAAGACAATTCAGAAATAACTTCTATATTGCCTGAGTATTTTTCCCATGCTCTTTTAAGTAGCAGATTTGCCAAATTAATTCTATTTCACCTTGGCAAATATTAAAATTATTTTTCACTTCTTAAACACCCACCAGCTGGTTGTGGGTGAGATAAAGCTAGATATAAATTGGATGGCAGAAAAAGGCAAGCTGGGACATGATTCTTTGGAGCAGCAAAGTCACGAGCTCTGTTACTTTTGAGTGGATGATGAAGAGTTTATTTATAACCCCCCAAGTCCTTTAAATTTAATAATAAATAATGACTCATTTCTCCATGAATATTTCCTTGCAATATGATCTGTGAAGAGATATTGTTTAAAATCACATTACAAAGATTTTGACTGGTCTGATTAAGCATCCTTCAAATTACCAGGTAAACACAGTAAGTTATGTCTTGGACCAAACTGTCCCAATCAACTTTCTGGTCATCCTTTCTCAAACCAGTCACCTGTTGACCCTGGCTATCCAAAGTCAAGTCAGAAGCCCAGCAGCTCTCACAATCACTCAGATGTTAAGACTAGAACTGCTTCCTTGTTCTGGAAAAGCTCACAAGATGACTACACTAGGCCCTTGAGACTCCACTGTCACAGGACCAAGATAAAAAGCAGGCACAGTAGCCACCGGGTGCTGAGGACCATGGCTCCCTGGGAAAGTCGCAGGGAAGCATCTCTAAGAATACAGAAGAGGCTGCTTGGTCCTGAGAGCATCCTCAGGCCCACAGGAATCAAGCTTGTTTTCCTAGCACCTGTGCTTAAGGATGACAATTTCCACACCACATCATAACACACTGCTAGGCCAGATGTCCAAGATTTTTCCTCAGACCTGGGGAGGCTGCTTTGGCCCAGGTGTGGTACTTCAATGTCTGGCTCTATGCATGTATCTTTCAGGTCATCCACCCAGCCCAAAAGCCTGACCATGGGATAGGCCCATTGGAAGTCTGCCAGATGCCTCTTATAAATCTTGGTCTTATCCATCAAAAGTCCACTTCTCCTTTTCTGGGAGTTAAGCCTGTTCACAGCAGGGATGCACAGGTCAGACAAAGCAAACATCACATGCAGTCTAGCCTAAGACACCTACTCCCCCACTTGCTCTCCTGGTAATGAAAGAGAGAAACCTTGCTAGGACAAAGCAGACAAAATAAACATTTGTGCTCAATACTATTCTCATGGCTCTGACTGAATGCCTGACATGGAGCAAGGCCATACAGTACAGAAGGCACAGCAGCTGGAGTGGGAGGTAGCTGGCCACAATGCCTCTGTATTCAAGAAGCAGAGAGAGAGAAATGAATTCTGGGACTCATTTGGCTCCTCTGTTTCCCTGTGACAACAGCCTCTGTCACCAAAAGACACATCCCTCTCTTACCAAAAGAGAAACTTCAGTGAAGAGATGGACAAAGTGTGACAGGTCCAGTCATGTAGGACCCGGTCATGACCTTCATATTCATACCTGTGTTTCAAGTTCCCACATTATGAAATCATTGTGTAATCATCTCTTCACAGGTAGGGAGAGGACCACAGTACCTCTTGTCTTGCAGTGTGTTCCTAATTCTCCAGGTTTCCCTCTTCTCTATTTAGACATCTGGTCAACCTCCCCTTGCAACATCACTCAGTCTCATCCACCAACACAGCATATCTCAGATGGGACAGTGCAATAAAAGGGGTGATACAATGGGTACTCCTCGGTATGACCCTGGAGACCCAAACCAGGGAAAGTGGGGGTGGGGGGTTACAAAGAACTCAGAATTTGGAGTCCAAATATCAAAGAGTGACTCACTTGCTGGATACAACACCCTGAAAAGTCCCCTGTGGCAACTTCTCTACACCTGGTTTCCTTATTTATAAACCAGAGATGAGGGTGCCCATGAGCAGGTGACATCCTACAGACACCTAAAAGGCTAGATCAAAACCAATAAACAATGGCAGAGGTCCATGGTGCAAACAGAACTTCAAAGACAAAATGCTTCTTGTGTCAGCTGCAAAAAGCCTCCTTTATTGGCATCCTTAGTATTAACCAGACCAGGAATGTTAACAGAAAAAGAAGAATCCATCAGAGGCATAAGGAAGCTCTACACACATACACACACACACACACACACACACACACACACACACACACACACACAAATGAGACTCAAAGAGGCAACAGTTGAGAATGGGAGATGGCTCAGACAGTAAGGTGCCTGTTGTGCAAACATAAAGACCTGAGTTCAGACCCCCAACACCCGTATAAGAAAGCTGAGTGCGGCAGCGCACATCTGTGATCCCAGCACCAGGGAGATAGAGACAGGAGTCTCTTGGGAGCTCACTGGCCAGCCAGCCTAGCCAAATTAGTAAGCTTTGGGTTCAATTAGAAAGCCTGCCTCAAAAAATAAGGTAGAGAACAATCAAGGAAGACACCCAACACAGACTTCTGGCCTCCATATCCATGTGCACCCATATAAATGGATACATACTCACATGAAGACATACGTGCACCATACACACAAAAGAAGAAGAAGAAGAAGAAGAAGAAGAAGAAGAAGAAGAAGAAGAAGAAGAAGAAGAAGAAGAAGAAGAAGAGAGAAAAGAGAGGCAACAGTTGATAACACACTCATATCACAAAAAGGCCCTAAATCCCCAGCCAGCATGCTGCCTAGCTATTAGTCTAATGTCATTATACACTGTGATTTTGTTCCATTTACACCAGTGCATCTCACAGTGATTTGACAACCAAGTGATTTTAAGGAGTAAAAGGAGTGGTCGGGGTGGAGAACAATCTCTTCTTTCTCACATCATTTCAATGACTCCCGAGAAGACCCGAGGGAGCAGCCCATCAGAAAGCACTTTATAAATAGCCAGTGCTGTGCACTGCAGTAGCTTCAGTAAGGACAGTTTTCCAGGAGCCATGACCTCTGAATCCATCTGACCCACTCCACGGGAGCCCAACCAATGGAGTGAGCCCTGAGTGTAAAGAGAAGCAAGAAGGGATTATGGAGTTAAGGTTAGTAGGATGCAAAAAAAAGCCTCACTGGGTCCCTAGTCCCACTATCCATTTCTCCTTAATGAATTTAGCCACAGGCACATCAATTTATCTCCGGTTCAATGAGTCATTTATCTCCTAGCTTTATTCCCTACCATGATCCAAATGCCTATGTGGCCTGTTGTAAATTCATATATTGAGATATTTACTCCCAAATTAAAATTAGAAGTAAGGTCTTCAAAAGGTAATCAAGTCATTGGGCAGAGTCCTCATGAGAGAGATTAGCGCTCTGTACAAAGGGCCTTCTCATCTTACAGGTACACACCTATGAGCTGGAAAGCAGAGCTCCACCAAACACAGAATCATCCATCTACAACCTTTGGCAGCCAGGCCCCTCCCACTGCGGCTCCAGGGATCAAACTTGGGTTGTCAGGCTTGCACAACAAGTGCTTTTACCTGCAGAGATCTCTCACCAGCCCCATAAGATCGAGCTCTACCCTGGGTTTCCCAGCTTCAGAGTGGTAAGACATCAATCTCTGTCGATCATAAGCTATTCCAAATTTGGTGTTTTAGCATAGAAACCTTAGAAGCACTTAAATAATCTAATTTGTCATTTTTTAAAAAAGCAGAAAGCTGATAAAAAAAAAACCCTATCAACAGTTAGTACTGAACACTCCTATGACATTCCTTGTGACTAGATAGTGATCTCTCTAGTCATGGCATTCAAACTTGCAGGACATCCTCTGAAGTTCTCAGTAATGAAATCCACATGAGAACAATTAATAGCACCACATTCCCTCCTACTCTTGAGTCCTATGCCTGAAACTTGGGGCCCTCTTGACTAGTAGATATAATTGAGCCTTATTTGATCATACGGTAATTCCTCTATTATTTAGTATGGGCCAAGGCCCAGGACCAGTTTGAACAAAAGTAACTGGAATGGGATCCAGGCCTATTTTCCTCCCTCCCTACTTTCCCTCCTTCCTCTATTCTTCCCTCCCTTCCTTCCCCCCTTCCTGCTTTCCTCTCTTCCTTGATTTATTCAACAGCTACTCGATAGCTCCCAGGTTCGGGTCCTGACAAGCCTGTGTTAACCTCATCGTCTATGGAGAATAAAAGGCTTCATATCTGACCCCAACCAGAACGCAGACCTACCTCTGACGACCTCTGACCCTTGCCAGTTATTGAACCTTTCTGTACATCTGGTTGATCATCTCTAAAATAGAGATGGAAAGGGTATCTATTCAGTAGAATTCTGTAAGGATTGCCTGGCATGCTCCATGAAAAGGCCCTAGCAGAGTGCCTGTGGTTAGCACCTTCCCAGTGCACAGCATGTCTTACATGGTGTTGTGGTAGTCTGTGGTATAGCTCTAGATGATCCTTGTCTCCTAATGTTCATGGCCTCTTGTAGCTCTCTCCCTCTGGTCCTGTGCACTGGTCCTGGTGACTTCTAACCAACCAAAACAGTAGAGGCAATGATGTCACCTCCATGATTAGGTTATAAGACTAGTCTCCAGCATAGATATGGCCCTCCCAGCCCCACTTTCTCTCTCTTTCTCTCTTTCTGAGACAAAGTCTCACTATATAACCCTGGCTGTCCTGGAACTCACCCTGTAGACCAGGCTGGCCTCAAATTCAGAGATCTGCCTGGCGCCTCTGCCTCCCAAGTGCTGGGATTAAAGGTGTGCGCCACCACACCTGGTCCCCCAGTGCTGGAATTATAACTGTGTGTCATCACACCTGGCACTCCCTTGCTCTTACTCTCACTCTCAATTTCACATTTTTACACTTGCTCTCTTTGTATGCTTTTTTAGTCAAAAGGACCACTTTGCAAAGAATTGAAGACACCTTTCCAACTCAGTGGCCCAAGAGGAACACAATCCTACCAGCAAGCTTAGAAATAGATCCTGCTCTGGCTGATCCATGAGTCAATTGTACCCCAGTAGACACCTTGATGGCAACCAACAACAGGGCAAACAAGACCCTGAAGCAGAAGACCTGCTAAGCCACACCTAGATTCCTGAGCCACAGAAAGAGGAAACAGAATCTAATGTGGAGGCAACCTGTTATGTAGCAAGAGATAATAAATATATCATTGTTATCAAATGTTGTGCTATAATTGGGGATGTATTGGGCATGAGTCTCTAGGGGAACAGAACCAACAGAACATGTGTGTATTACAAAAGAAGATGCACCAGATTAGCTTACACAATAGAGGCTAGATGGTCTGCCAATGGCCATATGCATGCTGGAGAGGCTGAGACCTAGCGGTTCATAAAGCAGTATGTCTCAGCAATCCCAATCCAGTGCTGAAGGCCTGGAGACTTCTGGAGAGTCACTCACTGTTTGTGGTGGTTTGAATAAAAATGGCCCCATAGGCTCATATATTTGAATGCTTAGTCACCAGGGAGTGGCACTATTTGAAAAGATTAAAAGGATTAGAAGGTGTGGCCTTGTTGGAGGAAGTTTGTTACTGGGGATGGGTTTTGAGTTTCCCAAAGTCCATGCCAAGCCAGAGTCTATCTCTGTCTCTGTCTCTCTCTCACACTCTTTCTCTCTCCCTCTCTCCCTCCCTCCCTCTCTGCCTATGGATCAGAATGCAGCTCTCAGCTACTGTTCCAGTGTCTACCTGCACACTGCCATGCTCCCCACCATGATGATAATGGATAAAACCTCTGAAACTGTAAGGAAGCCTCCAATTAAGTGTTTTGTTTGATAAGAGCTGCCTTGGTCATGGTGTCTCTTCACACCAATTGAACAGTGACTAAGACACCGTTCTTCAGTCTACATTAGAGGGCTAGAGAAGTTCAAGTCTGATAGCAGCAGAGGCAAGCAGCAGGAGCAAAGACAAGCATGCCCACTAGCAAGAAGCAAAGGTGAGCAAGCAGGCACATTTTCTCCTAGGACCTCTTAGTATCTGAGTCACCTGCTGGGGTGCTGTCCACTCTGAGGAAGGGCCTTCTCTCAGTTAATCCTTCCTAGACATACCCTCACAAACATACCTAGAGTTGTGTCTCTTGACTGGTTCCAGATCCCATCAACATGACATCAAGATTAACCATAAGTGACAAATAGCAAGCATGTACAAAAAAAAAAAGCAACCAGATGGGTTCATTGAAAAAGGCAACCAGATGGGTTCATTGAAAAAGGCAACCAGATGGGTTCATTGACAGCTACATCAAGAGGACCTGAGAATGACACACTGAATACTTGACATTCCATAGACAGACATCGTGAAGTCATGGAATGTTCTTCTTAATAAGTCAAAGGTGGAGTCTTAAAGAAAACATCTTTCAAGAGGAGGAACCACAAGACTCTTTAAACCTGTGTATCATCCAAAGTAGGAAATAGGAAAACTTTCCAGACAACTAAGATCTCTTCTTTTTTCCTCCTTCGGTTATTGGGCAAGTCACTTTGGGATTTATTTCACCAAATCTAATGGCAAAGAAAAGACACAAAAGTAAAGTTACTGAAATAAACAACTACATTAAGTTTAAAATCAATTAAATGTGTATTACCCTTTTTAAGGACACAAATAGTACATTAATAACAGTGAAATGAGTTTGGTGGACTACATAAAAAAAAGTAAGACTTTTGAAACAACACTTGGTATTATAATATCCTGAACCAGTAGGGATGTATCTCTTTTCAAATCTTGAGTCAAGATTTCTACGTGCTCCTTCCTTGGACAAGTCCCATAAATCACTTTGAAAATGACCCAGTTTGTACACATGAGCCATGATATCCATGTATCTAGGCCTTACCATTACAAGGGGATGGAGATAAGAATGTGATCTATAAACCAAGCTTTAAAAAAATGACCTCTGAGTTGCTTAAAGAAGGAGTCAGCTTCAGAGGGGAAGTTGGTGTGAAGAAAGACAGTAGGATCTACGTGCCGAGTCTTCAGCTCTCCGTAGCAGAAGAGTCTGTTGCCATCAACTCGCAGAACTTCATACTATCTTTCTTTGATTGGTAAATAGAGTGCCTACTTCACAGTACGCACTGTGTTGGACTCTAATCCCCTCCTGAGCCCAATCACTTACCTGCTGGATTAGTCGATTAGTTAATTAGTTCATTGTGTCATTGATGTCATAAAATACCCAACAAAAGCAACTGAAGGGAGAAAGGGTGCATTTGGCTCACAATTCCGGTGGGTACAATCCATCATGGTGGGGAAGATATGGTGGAAGTCTCATGAGGTCATATCACAGGCAGAAGCAGAGAATGATGAATGTTTGGGCTCAGCTGCTTTCTCCTTTTTACTCAGCTCAGGACCCCAGCCCATGGCATGTTGGCACCCACACTGAGGGCGGGTATCCATCTCAATTAACCTAATCTAGGAAAAATCCCCCAAGCACAAAACAAGAACCCTGTCATCTTGAGGACATACAAAATGTGTCCTGTCACCAATGGTCAGCACCATCAAAGCAATCCCATAGTGTCCTCCCAGTGAAGGACACATTTGGAAAAAGGAGAGCCAAGATTGAGAAGGCAGTATCTGCCTCTTGGTTCCATAGACAGCCTGTGGGTCTGAGAAGGTCTGAGACCTACGTGATGTTGCACAGAACACCCTGGTGGCATTGATGACATCTCCTCAGCATATAACTAAGTTTGAGCTAGAAGATCTCTCTAGGTGTTGCCACATTGTGGCCCTCACAGCTCTAATTCCCCCCAAACACCCCAGAACAGTGAGATGTCCCTGGTCCACCTTTCACTCCCATCTCCCAGGAAAGAAAGCCAATGCTAACAGACATATGACAAGGTGTTCAGCACCAGATCAATAACTGAAACTCAGTTCATTCAGATCTCATTCGACTCCCCAAGCCTGAATGATCTATGAAACAGTCCCTAGACTGCTGTGTTAGTCCTAGGGCAGGAACTTGAAGTCAACCGACTCACTGAGCTAAAGCTATTCACTCCAGACAACAGTGTTGGCCAGACAGGACCCAGCCTAAAAAAGAAGTTCCATCAGGAAAATATGAACATAGAAAATACCAGCAACAACTACCAACATACAGAGCCTGACCTTTATACCCTAGATAATTCCTTCCAAGAGCTGAAGACCCCATGCTCCAATTCCCATCTTCCTGCTTTGGGGTATTTTTCACAGCCACAGCTCCATTCTAATCTTTGCAGATTCCTCCATGGGAAGTGGTTGGAGGGGAGAGCAATATTAGCTGATGATCTGGAATTAGTTAAACTGACTCCTAGGGTGTAGGACGCACTCTACTAAATCAGAGCTAATGAATTCCACAGAGGGGAAGGAAAAAATAAGCCCACTGTCTAAATATCCTTCATTTCATGAGAGACAAAAACAAAGTACACCTTTGAAAGGATGGCTCCACCTTGGTGAAGAGGACTCGAGAAACTGCCTGACTGAGAGCAGCTGCTTCCAGCCATCTTCTGCACTCAGAGTTTTGTCTTTTCAAATGCTTTTTGGCCTTTGAGATCCACACATCCTTGTTGCTGTGGCAGCAATAGCCTGCATGGGAAGGTGAATAAAGATTGGCTACTGAGGAATTGTCCATTGCATAGTGGAGTTATACAACCCATAATACAGACTGTCCCCTTCTGAGAAACTAATAAAGAGGGATAGGGCTCAGTGACTGCACACCTTGTCTAAATTCCAAAAATAGTAGCTTCGAAATGGCTGACAGTTCTTTGGCACTTGTCTTCTGAGAATGTGAGACTATTTCCCCTCCTGTTCAAAGCAGGTCATGCTCTAGGCTCCACTTGAAGCAAAAGAAATGGGCAGAGACGTGAGGCTCTGTGACTTCTGAGAGTTGCTCACAGAAAGGCAGGTTCCCACCAGGCACGTTGGCACACACCTTTAATCCCGGCACTCAGGAGGCAGACAAGGGTGCCTCTCTGTGAGTCAGAGGCCAGCCTGGTCTACAGAGCAATTTCCAGGCTACATAGTAAAAGCATACCCACCCTCAAAATAAAAATAGCTCCCATCAAGCTCTGGCTGTCTTGGCTTACTAACTCTAGGAAAAGCCAGCCGCCACATCATGAAGGCGCACACTGTCTGTGGCCTCTACAGGGAGGAGGTAGCCAACCTCCAACAGACGACACCACTGGATCACCTTGAGAGAATACTCACTCCCGGTCCAGCTTCCCATGACCTAGGAGCTACCCAGCTTGGTCACTTCTCAGCTCTTGACCCATTAGAATCACAAAAGAGGGTGTTTACTGTGTTAGGACACAATTTAAGACAATTTGTGGCAAGGCAGTAGTTGGTTTAAAAATAGAAGCATGATTCATTCTCAGCTGAAGACGATGACCATGTCTAAGATGAGAAGATGGGAAGAGATTGGACACAGAACTGACAAGACAGGGATAAGCCTGGAGGAATGGGGGAAGAGACAGCAAAGCGTAGGAAGCAGCCCTCTCCTCCCACGCCGGATATTTCTCCTTTTTCTCTGAATTTCTCCACTCACTTATCAACACATTCTTATCCCCATGGTTGCTAGCTTTATCTCATCACTTGGATAGATGGCTTATTTTTTAAGATTTATTTTAATTACATGTATGCATGTGTCTGTATCTGTGCACATAAGCATATATATGAGTGTGTGTGTGTGTATGTGTGTGCAGGTGCACACATATACAGTAGCTCACAGAGGCCAGAAGAGGACATCAGATTCCATAGAGCTGAGTTCCAGGAGGCTGAGTTGTCTGGCAAAGGCACTGGGAACCGAATCTGGGTCCTTCGGAAGAGCAGCAAGTGTTCTGAACTGCCAAACCATCTCTCCAGCCCCATGGTGGCTGTCTTCTTAAGGCAGGGGGAAGGGTCAATGTTTATTCTATGTTGCTATATCGTACCGGGCACTGTGTTCTGCATACAGTTAACCGAGACCCACAGGCAAAACTGGCTAGCTAACCAAATGCTCAGAACATTCTAACAGGATTGGACAGAGAAGTGGCTGGCAGACAGGAAGCCACAGTGTTTCTTAGAAATACTATTTATCATTTAGTGGCCCTCAAAAGACCACATTGTCAGGTATTCACATCTTCATCCCTTACTACACTATCATTAAACCTGACCATGTGACCACATCTGTCTGCTAAGATATTACCAAGCCTGATGCAAGTGAGACTTGATGTGCAGTCACATAGTGAGGTTTAATCCCCAACAACACCCCTCAGAATTCAGCTGCCATGGCTTGGTTTGGGTTTGGGTTTGTATGCATTGTATGTATGCGTATTTGTGTGCACGTTTGCATATGTGCGGCTTTACATGTATGTACATGTAGAGGCCAGAGGACAACCTCAGCTGTCATTCCTTCTGTACCATCCACCTTGTTCTTTAGACATGCTTTGCTGAGAAGTCTAGGCTTGCTGGTCAGTGAGCCCCAGGGATCCTGTCTCCAGATCTCCAGCAATGAGATTACAGAAACACACCACCATGTCTGACTTTACACGGTTCTGGGGATCTGACCCATGTTTTGAGGATGTCCAACAGGAAATACCAACTTTCCCCCCAGTGAATAATGTCATTTTAGACCCTATAGCCATCCCAGGACTCTGGCTGACTTCGGAGATGAAAACACCTATTCGGTCAAACCACAAGAGATAATTTATTGTGCCTGTCTATGAAAGTGCCATACCAAATGTGGGGTAGGATCATTCCAAAGGCCATGCAATTTGCTCAACCACGGCTTTAAGGGGCCCACAGCTGGAGTGGGTCTATTTCAGCCCAATTTCTTCCTATTACTGCCTGCAAGCCATGAGGGTCAGTGCACAGGAGGGAGGGAGTATTGCAAGCTCCATGGGGGCCCGGCAGATGCTCTGCAGTGGTGCAGACATCGAGGCTGGCTTTTGCTCTCTTTCTGCTTCTGTCTCTAACCTCGTTCTGCGTCATGTTCCCTCTGTTCCTCCATATCTCTTGCTAAGACTCTCACCTGCCTAAGGTGCCTTCAAAAGTCACTCAAGGCGACAGACCCCGAACCCGGCATAACCTGTCTTCTTTTCCAGGCTAGAATGCTGGGCTCAGGGTGCAACCACACAGCTGTGTAAAAATTACCCACTGATCCTGGGTTCCCTCTCACTACAGAGTGGAAATCAGTCTGTCTCGGGCTGTTGCTGAGAAGAGACACAAAGCCCCAGACAGAACTGAGCCTAGCTTTCCCAGAAAAAATAAGTTTCTGTTTTGTTTGATTCTCTCTGTTTAACCGATTTCTGTTGTCAACTTGACTGGATCTAGGATCAACTAATAGGCAAGCCATTGGGAACACCTATGAGGGATTATCTTGTTCAGTTCAACTGAAGTATGAAGACCCAACCTAGATGTGATTGGCACCTTCCAGTGGCAAACCAGATAGGAGGAACTACGAAAAGCAAAAGCTTATGCTTTCTGCTTGCTTGCCTTCTGGTCCTACTGGTAAGTTCTGTTGGCATCTTGCTGCTACTGCTGCTGCTGATGGTGATGATGATAATGATGATGATGATGATGATGATAACAATAGTAATAATGTCATTCTTCTCTGCCATGGAAACTCATCTTTTTGACCTTACAACCTAGACCAAAGACCAATGACTGTCCACTAATCCTCCACGCCTTTGACACCAAACTGCTGAGGCATCCAACTTCATGGACTGAGCACCTAGCATGTTCTCAGCCTCTCCAGTGTGTGGGAAGTCATTGTTGGACTACCTAGACCAATCTAGTGAATTCCCCTTTGATACACTCATGCTATTAGCTGTGCTCCTCTAGAGAACCCTGATGAACACACAGTTCCTCTGTAGTGTATTCTTTGTACTCTAGTCTCTTCTAACAGTGAGCCCTAGGTCAGTACCTCTGCACTTCACTGGAACCCAGGAGCAAGAAAGCTGTAGCTCTCCATGAAGTAACACAAGAAGTCCTCAGGGAGTTTAAGATGGTGAAACCATCCTGGACCCTATCCCCATCCCACAGAAAATTAAGTGTATTTTTAATGACCTCCAGGATACAAGTAAATAGAATTCTTCATTCACTCAAAAGGTAGAGGACATTTTATGCCCAAAAAAATAATAGCAACAATAGGAGGAGAGGAAAAATACAGTAAGAAACACACTCATGGTGATCTATATTATGAATATACATGTATATTCATATCTCAGCAGGCCCTGCAGAGTTACAGATGAGCTAATTAAAATGCTTATGTTTTTAGCAATGATGTTTATTGAAACCATTTCATAACCATCCATATTGGGGTTTGTTTTCAGCTATGATGTTATGCTACCTGGAATATTCTGACCTAAATTATTTATGGACCTAAGAATAGATTTCCTCCTCCCATCACTGACTTCATAGATAGATCTCAGGATACAGAAAGTTTTGGTGAGTTTCTACAGTGCTGACAAGGCATTCGTGCATTTCCTGTACCGGCTAAGACTCCTGTACAGGCTAGAGGCCTGTGGAGGGCCAAGGGTAGAAGCTGACTTACTTCCTCTAATGAGCTACTCACTTCATGTGGAACCTCCAACATGGATGATTCCCAATAAGTTCTGTTAAATGAGTGGCTGATGGTGGTTTCTCATAGCAACCCCTAGATAAATCAGGAAGGAAGACTTTAGTCTCTACAGAGGATAAGGTTGAAGCTCAAGATGTCCAAACCGACCCAGGCCTGCTAATTAGAGACCTGGGATGCTATGGCTTGAGTTCTCTGCTTCCCAGCCCAGGCATCCTACAGGAACTAACACATACATGTGCTAGAAATTGCAGAAAGTAAGTAGCCCTGGAAATCACTAAAGCAAGGGTAGAGAAGAAGCAGAATTCTTCAAGCCAGCGCACAAAGACAAAGATGAACTAATTCACCTGATTCTCCATCCATATAAAGAACTCACCAAGCAGTGCATCAAAGCTATATAACACACATAGGTATTTCAAACTAAAAGATATTCAGTATTAAATGCTAGTACTTACCAAGCATGGAAGGGCTGGACAAACAGTAGATATAGCAAGCCATAAGGCAACTGAGTTCAGAAACACACCACAGAGCTATAGCCCAGGTGTCTCGCCGCTCCTGCCACGGCTACCTTGAAATGTCCATGAAGTCCAGCTGCCATAGAGACTCCTAAGTACATTTTTATGGCTTTGCTGACCATGATCACTCAAACTAATCTAGACAACATGGAAATAGACTTAGAATCTCTTTCAGTCCTAGCTTTGTTTGAATCCACCTAACTGACAGAATCAACTTCTTAACACCCCAGCTGAAAGAGAGTCCTGGGATGATGATGTATATTCATTTTCCAGAAGGAGTATCAGTTCCCAGGACCAACTGACCATATGCACCACAGTTCACATCCTTACATCCTAGCTTGCCTTTCACAGAAACTTTTAAGAGCCAATAAACAGCAACAATACTGGATGTGATGCACTGTGACTCAAGTGAACAAAAATGTTTCCCTTTCCTCAAAAAAAGAGACAGTCAATGTCACATAAGCCACTGAGAAACTGTCATTCACTTTCTACTTCTGCTATATTCCCACCTAAAA